AGGCATGAGATGGACAAAATTATTCCTGCATGGAAGGAAGCGTGAACGTAAGGATAAGTTGCCGAACTAAAGGGCCTAGTTATACCCCTGTTTTACACGTCTCTACTAAATCTCGTCTTTGGCATTGGGAGAGAGGGCAGGGATTGGGAAAGTCGCATAACTTAACGACAGAGCAAAGTTAGGATTAGGTTTAGTGTAAGGTTTGTTGTTGTGATTACGGTAAGTAAGTGGTAAGGTGAAATCGGCGTTAGTATTGCAAGATAGGGTTAAGATGACAGTTACAGTTTGAGCTGATGATAGGCGAATTTTAGGTTCAAGAAGAATCCATATTTTCTGTTAAAATAATTTCGCACAGAAGCAACTTTCCTAATTGGGCGTTGCGTTCTTATTTCTTATTCTATCTTTGGGACATATTTGAAATCATGGTTGAATGTTTTTTCAATTCTGAACGATTGAGAAGTCATCTTGGCGAACACGTGTTTACAGCAATTCTTCGTCAGGCAAATACAGTTGCAGGGACTAAAATGGTCAGCTATATTTAGTATTTAAAAGGTTCTCAGCATAGGGGGCAGGGTTTTATTAGTCTTCTTGCTGTCCCCTCGTCTCACGCATGCGGGCGCCAGCCTGTTAGGGGCGTTCGGCCTGGCGAATACGGATGAGTGAGGAGGGATGTTCTCACGAACGGCGTGCGTATTTTTGGCTGACGTCTGTTCCGACGGCACGATTTCCACTCGTGTATTTGGCCAGGGTAGACAGACTGCGGCTACCAGCGTATTTTGACAGCTGAGAGCGGGTTATGCTATAGGGATTGCCACTGCTGTGGCTGTGGCCAGCGCCCATTTTCGCAGGCCTTTAGATTAGTGTGTTGGAGCCTGAACGTCCTCTCTCGTGTCAACTTGGTGGTGCGTATCGACCAAGTGTGCGAGGATTTTCTCGGTTGCCGAGTCAGGCTGGTATGTGCCCACGCAGCTTCTTCTCCAGACGCCACGTTGTTCGGCCAATGGGATATTTGGGAATATTTGCAGAATTCTGAACGAGTTTACAATGAAAAAGTCGTTGAATTTGCGTTTCAAATGTGCCGAGGAAAACTGTTCATACTATCCGCATATCCATCTGGCAAGCGTCAGTAATGTTTTTATTAAAAGTTCAAATAATGTTGCAGATTTTTAGACAACACAACAGCTTTTTTGTTAGTCGTAGAAACCTCCGCATATCTAAACAACGCATCTTCTGCTCGAAGACCTAAATGTCTTCCTATTTCCTTAGTACTAGTGGTACTTGTTTACTTACGTTCATTGAATGTTATGTTCATTTTAATGTTCTAAGGCCAACGGAAAGTATGCGCGCTTGCACAACTACCGTGACTTCGGATCAATCACGAGACATCAGGATTGGCCTGGAGAACTTAATATTTGCGTTTTAATGGACAAAATGGCCATCAAAATAAAGTCCGATAGTTGCTTATTTGTTAAGGAGTACTATGAGCTGCGTAACACCGTAGAAGTTGGCACGACTATTGTTGTGCATTCATCTTGATAGATAAGCTCCGTTATAGTCGTTGGCTAAATTGCTCCATCACACTAGAAATGCGGCTGTGGTAGAAATCGGAATAGAGTAAACGGTAGCCGAAATCACCTTAAGTTCTCGACATCTCATCGTTGAACTGAAAACCGCTGAAAACCAGACAATCCCTCGGAAACCGCAACTTTCTGTGTACACATTTGGGCTAATAGACATAAGTGATAGGAAAGTATGGATTATTGATTAACGTAAATTAGCTCGATTTCAGGAATTAGATATACAAGTGCAAAATGTAATAACCATACGCCGAAATTTAGTGAAAACGTGGAATCACTTCCAGAGATTGTGCTCAATAGACACACAGGAGTCTCCAAATATGGGTTATAAATAGGCTCTTAAATATATTTTAAATATGTCTGATTAAATAAACCAAAACTGTGGAGGATGTGGCACTATCTATTGGACTCGACTTCGACTCCACAGCCGTTGTTTAATCCAACTAAACCAGAGGGTCCTATTTCTTTCAGATTTTAATGTCGTGTATATCATCTCCCGAAGAAGAAGTAGGAGAGAAGGCAATTTCGTGGACCGAAATATATGTCCACTGACGTTTCAAAAACACACTCATCAGAGTACCAGGCTTGCTCTTCCGTGGACCTTGAGTGAAATCACCCCACCGCCAGCCTCGTTTTATACCCGTGCTTACTGCACATGCGTTCGCCTGCCTTTTGACCGCTTGTTGGCTCAGACTTGTTTGCTATCGACCAATGACGGGTCCACGTGCCCTTTGTTCCCTGCGCCAATATCGTGCTCGCCGCCCCCCCCTCTTCAGGCAGCAGTTGGTACTAGCTCGAAACGTTGTCGCCCTCGCGGGTGTTTCCATGAGAAAGCGTGCCACCCCGGTCATGTGACTCCCGATCATTACCACCCTCTTCCTCCACGGGTGTCGGCTGTTGCTCCTACGTAACCTCTTTCGTCCCGTTCTGAGCTAGTGTGAACGTATTAGGGCAGACGGCATTGAAATCGATGGCTCGATTTAGTGTGTCCGTCGAGAACAAACTTTCCAGCACTAGTTTTGCCCTCTTCTCACCGGCTCTGCCGATCACCATCGCTTTCTCAAAGGCGCAGTTATGGTTAAGCTACTGAGCGTGATTGTAGACTAAAGACAGCCTGTCTCTTCGGTCGATTACAAGTTGATGCTCGTGGAATAGAGGTAGAGTATTGAACTCAGAGACTAAAGGTTCCAATCTCGGCTGTTCCAACACTTGAGACTGTGTATGACTGACTGATGATGGCTAATAAGCCATAAGTGACCATTGCGGTCTCCCTTTGTCTTGTCGGATATGTTTTGATTCTGAAAAAACTGGCTTCTTAAATAGGATGCACTTTTATTATTGATTTTGACTGCCTTTATACATTCAAATATATTTTATGGAAAGTATGCACGAAAAACTCCTCTCTTGTACGTACTTGATAGCAAAATACGCCTTCTTCAAACTGTATCCTTAAAGCTAGGGTTTCCTTCGGTAAGTACTGCCCCCGATGTATACAGCAAGATCCATGTTTAGTTCGAAATTCTGAGAGCTTCTCATCCACTTCCTCAAACCCTACGCAAGAACGTACTTTTCTTTAAACAGGATGAACACAGCATTCAGTTGAAAATAACTTGAATTCACTTCTAGCAGTTGGCATATTTGAAAATAAATCGGCAATTTAGAAACTTCTTCAAAACCGTAGGAAACCCTTTCTTTAAGAATAAAATTTAAACAAGGCATACCTTTCTATCAAATAAGTACAAGAGAGGATTTTTTCGTGCATGCTTTCATTAAAAAATATTTGAATTTATAAAGGCTGTCAAAATCAATGATAAAAATGCATATTATTTAAGTAGCTATTTTTTACAGAATCATCCTTTTCGCAGCGGTAAGAAAGAAGCTAATCGCGGTGTCGGCATCCTGGCGTGACTGAAAATAATTGAAATTGGACTGCAGGATAAACAGTACTGCAACCCTACTCAATGTTCGTTTTCGAGAGGTTACTGGTTTTTTAAAATTGCGGAATGTTTCATGCAGCACTCATCATACTTTAGTTATTAGTTTATGATATTACTACGAGCTGTTAAACATACCTCGACCGCTGCTGACTGTAAACCTTGTCTTTTTCAGGGGGCCGTTGCAGGCTTTATCTGCAGCGTGATAGGAACCATGTGGATGTCCATCGGAGGCGTCCTGAGAAACACGATAGCTGACGTGCCCGGTCGGCCACCGTCAGTGGAGGCCTGTCTCGTTCCTGGTGATACAACGCCAGCGCCCAATATGTCAACGCTGATGACATCTACCTCAGCTCCCCAACTGCGGGACCGAGGATTCAGTTTCTACGATATGTCCTTCCTTTGGTTGACATCTGTGGCCATGCTGATTGGATTTGTGGTGGCCAGCCTTGTCAGTCTCGTGTCAGGTACGCTTAAATGAATTTGTTGCGCTAGATGCGGCTGTTCCGGGTGTGCGCCATCTTCGTTCAGTCAGGCATAACCTTAAGCACCAAACATGTGCATACACAAATCAGGTAGTCCACTGACGCAGTCTTCCACTGCCATAGAAAGAAAGCTTATCAGTGGATCACCGCCTGAGAGTTGACTTTCTATTCTTGTGGTCCAGTAGGTAATCATTCGTGAATAAGTGCAGGCAGATCCATTGGCATTCCAAACTTTTTGCCTGCTTTGGTATTATGGTATGAGCGCAGCTACTTAG